GTGTGTGGTCCTGTGTTTTGTTGGTGTATATTTAATATACTTCTAATAGCTATTTCAATCTTTCTATCTTTCTAATTACTTCTCTCTGTTTTTCTCTCTGTCTCTATTTTCTCTTCACTTAAAAATTTAAAAATGAAAATTGTAAAGTTTGAGATGCTCTTATGCAGCTTTCAGTTTAAAGATTGGAAAGCCACTCCCTTGTTTGAATTAAGAAAGCTTCCCCCATGGAAAGTATGGAAAGTATTCAACCACAGAAAAAAAGTCTAGATGCTTTGTTTTGTTTACTTTTTAATGTTTTTTTTTTTTTTGGATATACCATGTTGACTGAGAATCTATMCCAGCATCTATACCAGCATATTCAACAATTGTTGCTCCTGAAGGAAATTTTGTAATGGATTAATTGAATGTTAGATGCAGTATTGCATTTTATACTTTCTGATCATTGCAGCTTTGAGGCCATAACAGACTAAGAGTTGGTGTGTGTCTTATCATGTGTTCTTTCTTTAGTCTAAACAAAATAAGTCACGTTCTGACGTCTGACGTAAAAGCTAACACCTCCAGGGATGCAACCAGGAAGAGATGTACAATATAAGGTCAATTTATTATTATAGTAGAAAGGAGATGTCAGAGTGTTGTGGAGAAACTCTGCTCAGAGCAGAGCTGCTCTGCTTTGTTTGAGTTTTCTTGATATGAGCTCAAGGCCTTACACTGAGGTCTGACTGCTGGGTGCTGTACCTGATGATTGGAATCAGAAGATTAAAAATAAAGTTTTGAAGAAGAAATCCAGCTGGATTCCTGTTTATTCGGACATACCATTTTGAACAACGAATATTTTTCTTACACTCCAGTTTTATTATCAATAAATCATCAAGCTCATTTCAAATCTACAGGATGGTGTTTCAATATATTGCTTCAAGAGGGTCCTGATTTTTTACAGATGTGTTGGAGAACATATCCTTCTGGAGAYAAATGACTCTCATTAGTAYGGGAAACAGGCAAAGTACTAATGAGAGGTAAAATCATATCTTATTCATCACATAAGAAACAAATAAAACAACAAGAACTGGAACAATTTGGAAATACAAATTAAACTTTTAACAGATCAATATATCCTAATGAACAAACAGGGAATAAATTGAATCAAATCAAAAAACAAAACTGTTTGGCAAACTTAAATAAAGGAGACTTCACAGTTAGGGAAGTCATTTAGCATTGGTGACGAAGTCGTTCTATATTATTTAAGTCGAAAGGATGAGAGCCTGTCAATACTGCTTCTTTTTTCCTGACTGATTTTTCCCCTCATTTCTCTGCAGTACTGGATAAACGAATACACCTCCAATCTGGGCATTGGAGTCTTCCACTCAGGCATTGAGATTTTTGGCAGAGGTAAGAAAGGAGCTTCCTCTTMGTCTTCCATTACATATTGTAAAGCAAATGCTTCCAGGCTAGCCCAACGTGGTGAATTACTGGAAGTCCATAGGCCGTGTGTCAATTCATGGGTTGCAGCTGATGTCGGCCGTTTACGTCACTATCCCGCACCATAGGCTGTCCCAATTCGACAGCGCCTACACATGCAGCTGCCAAAAMCCCCGAAAACATCGACTGTATCTGAGTATCCTACGCGTCTGACKGTATCCCAGAATTCACCATCAGCAAATTAAACAAAAAAACAAAAACGGCAAAGTTTTTTTTTAAAACTTTACGGTGGAGTTTTTTCCTTTTTTTTTAATGATGGAGTTTTGAATTTTATTGGAATTTTAATGAAAAATGTAAGTTAAACCACTTAACTGAAGACAATTTTGTTGCAATGGATGTTAAATAACATGACGTTACAAGTACTGATACTGGAGCTAAACCCAAATTATTAATGCTTTTTTAAATTTACTTGAAGCGTTTTTCTATTAAAACTGAATTTTATGAAGTTATACCTTGAAAAATAAACAACTGAAGTGATGTGATACAAAACATATCACCATGGTTATGAGGCAGAGCATGTTCATGCAAACTTACATTTTCTGTAGGAAAGACCATTTCACATCAGTTTATGCAGCCGACACGAGCGGCCTAWACGGCCCACAAAACTGCAGCCAATGTTGGCTGCAACCCATGAATTGAGACTTAGCCATACCCTCTGAATAGGGAATATTATTTATGTGTTTAGAGAATTATGTAATCTTAAAAAAAAAACACAATTCGGTTTTATTCAGTTTGTATGTATAGCATAAATTAATAAGTCATTGTGGGGAACTGTACAGAAACATCCTCAGACATTATAAAACACTGATTAGTAAAAATTGTCTATCAAAGGAAATCAGCAGACTGCCTTAAATCTTCATTTTTTCTCAACCTCCTATCCTGAGCAGCATGTTATTGACAACAATGGAAAGGAAATAACCCATCCTGACCAAGGCAATAGGCAACCATCTGCCTTGATCAGCTATGGTTTAARAGGATAAGAAAGGGACACTGACAAAACACAAAATTATTGGTCCAGGTTTAGTTTCTATGGGAAGAAATACAAAGAAAAACACAGGTTAACGATAAGCATTAATCACAAATACAAGCACAAAGAGTAAAGACAGCAGCAGAGAGMGGAGTTGTGTCCTTTGTCAGTCTAACCCAGGGGTCTGCAACCTGCGGCTCTGGGGCCACATGTGGCTCTTTGGTCCCTCTGCAGTGGCTCTTTGAAAATGTGACCAAACGTAACAAAATAAATAGTTTTTTTTGGTTTTTATACCCACAACAGAAATCAATTTGTGTGCAAATATGTTATCAATACTACTCATAAAAAAGGTACAACATGTTAGCTCATGCTAGCCTGTTGTTTACTTAAACAATAGAACTTATTTTTCTCAAATCCATCAGAATTACCTTTAAAGAATTTGAAGACTATATAATAATAAAAATTAGAAGGAAAAAATGCCTGAATAATTCAGTTGTACTAGTTTTTATGAAATTCGGTATAAACAATATACAGTATTTTTCTTGTTTACATGAATATGGTCTTTTTATTTGTCCTGATGTGTATAATAATAAAAAAATATAATAATAATAGCAATATTCTTTGGTTTTATAATATCACCTCTACTGACCGTGAAGGTTCCTGAAAAGGCCTTGAAAAGGCCCACGGACCACCAGTTGTTAATCACAGTTGTAGCTTGTTTTGTGGCTCTGGACACATTTTATTAGTGAGACAAGGAGCAGAAATGGCTCTTTTGATTGTAAAGTTTGCAGACCCCTGGTCTAACCCTTTAGCAGAATAACTAAAAATATATATTAACTACTAGCCAACCCTCAATTTACCATAAAGTAAAATCTCAAATCAAATTCTCAAAGTAGAAAGTGTGTCAGACCCACAGACTTCATTCTTATGTTTTTAACTGTATCTTTGTTGCTTATGTAAAAGGCAGAAATAGGGGAACACTGTCACTGTTTCTGTTAACATAATTAATGATTTAAGCTTTCTACACAATGTGGTGACCACTGATGGTTTATCACTGCTTTCCTTTCCCTGCTGTAATGGTAGGGTAGAGAGGTCTGAATTAAAGCCAGTACAAATGATTTAATTACGTGTTCACGAATAATTGCTTGCTTCTTTGTAATTATAGTTATAAAGTGCTTTCATTCCAAGGTTTAACTAATGTTTTGCATCTTGGTCCTCCACCACTCAGAATTTGCATATGGCGGTCATCCTTACCCTTTCAGTGGCATCTTTGAAATCAACCCTGGAAATGCTACTGAACTGGGAGAGACTTTCAAATTCAAGTACGCATTCCTCATTTCATCATGCAAAGTACTGAGATGTCATTAATATTAATCAGTGTTAATTATGTGTAATTTGTACTAATTATGTGTCCTTTTCTCTGAACAGAGAGGCAGTTGTTTTGGGGACTACAGACTTTACAGAGGAAGACTTAGATAAGATTATGGAGGAGCTTGGTAAAGAATTTAAAGGGAACGCTTATCATCTAATGCACAAAAACTGCAACCACTTCTCGTCCTCGCTGTCTGAGGTCAGTATTGTGATGTTTGCTCCTGTAGTGTTGAGGAATAACTAAAGAAAAACTATTAATAGAAGCAAGAACATTTACATATATAGTTTTGCTTGAAAATTTGCACTCGGAAATATATAATGCTCAGAATTTCACAAATTTTACACATCCAGATTAGTTGTTACTGATGAAATTATTAAAATTCCAGAAGAAAACCTGTATTATCTTTTATAAACTGTATCATACAATAGGTTTCCTTAAAGGTTCATAGTAAAAATTTATGAAGCCAAGAGAATGAAATTTGTTGCATAGGATTCAAAAAGTTCTCAAAAAAGAGAGAAAAAACAAACCTAAAAGTGTTTTTAGTTCTTCCAATCTTTAGCATTGTATACTGGGCTATCCATTATGAAAGTATAGATCACAGTTGTCAAACTGTGGTCTTCAAAGGCTGCTATCCAGCATGTTTTCTTGTTTCCAATGCTCAAACACACCTGATTTACATGAATGGATGATTACAATTAGAACGTGGTGATGAGAGATGGGTTGAGGATGAGTGATTGTGATACCCAGGACCTTTCTTCTGGGCTGTAAACCTGTCAGTCAGTCAAAAATTAGATTTTTTTTCAAAAAAGCACGGATTGAGCATTAAGACCTGCAGTGCGAACTTAGCCATAGAGGTAATCTGAGTGAGGACAGAGAATGCAGAGGACAGAATAAGATGGTTGAGGAAGAATGACTGTGGCGACTACTGAAGAGAGAATGGACGAATAATAATGACAAAGAAGATAAACAGACTTGTTGATGTCAATAACTACATTTTTATTCCTTTTTATAGTACAGTAGAGTTCCTGCACAGTATATATAGGATAAAATAATACACAAAAAGATAAAAAATTGTATAGGTCTTCTGGACGGGTTCTTCTCTAATGAAACGTTTCCTCTCTCCTCCAAGA